GGATTGCAAGAGGAGACTCAATTAAGACTGCCACCTCCAGCATTTTGCCAGTCATTAACCTTAACCTTGCTGTAAAATTCTCACTGAGACCCTGTAGGCTGTCTTCAGTGAATAGGATGAACAAACAATAGAGCAGTGTTTCTCAACCTTGGCAACTTTCAGATGTGTGGACTTCAGCTCCCAGAATTCCCCAGGCAGCATGCTAGCTGGGGAATTCTGCGAGTTGAAGTCCACACATCTGAAAGTTGCCATGGTTGAGAAACACTGCAATAGAGGATATTGTAGGGCATTAATCTACTTAACCTTTTGAATGTTGTAATATCTCTTTTGCACAGTCATCATTCGGTTGCACAACAGAAAGATGTTAATTCCCTCCTGCACATATCTTAATTTCACTCTAACATCTGAAAATATGTCATTGTGATTTCCTCCAGATCTTAACGCACAAGTTGCTGAACCATAACTCCCAGAAGTCCAGACCAGTATGCCCAGTGGGTGAGAGATGCTGTGGGTTTAGCAGGATCTACATAGTTGTTTCAGAAAAACCTATTTTTCTACTTTCCATTGTCCTTGAGAGAGTAGCTCTTAATGTTTTTTTTTTCACTGACATGCCTGAAAGTGGTGAGCTTTATTGTGAGGACTGTACCTTTTTCTGATTGTAATTCCCAACTGCCACTGTTGTCTGCTTTGTAGGAAGTGTTTGCTTTGTAGGAAGGTCGTTTTTAGTTCCCAGATGGGACTTGTTCTGCTTGTTCCAGTATGCATTGTTTAATGTGCAAATATGGCTGAGATCCTCAAAAGGATTAGAGTTTGCTACTAAAATCCTAATTTTATTTTTAGATTACTTTTAAGAAAGAAAATATGACTGTTACATTGGGAACTTATCTAGGCCCTAACCTTTGGCATCATATCAGATAAATGGAAGAGGTAACCATTTCTCAAATAGATATAGAAACTACATGTTCAAGAATGGTCTAACTCAGCCTGGAAGCTGCAAGCAATTTTGAAACATTTATTTTGAAGCTCCTATTGAAAAAAATGCATAATTGTTGTTCCTAGTTTTGCCTAGGGGTGGGGGTGGGGCGGGGACGAGGAAGGTCTTACATGTTCTACCCTCATGTGTTTAGGGAGATATGTGGATTTCCTTTGCCTTATTGCTGAATTATTATTTTTAGTAGATTCTGCCTGGCTCTTGTGCTAACTGTTCTTCATGCGGTGGCTGCAAATGAAGATGCACCTGTTGTTCACCAGGACTCCTGGGGAGATTTTTGGCTGTTACGGTTTTTGGTCAATGCTGCAGGCTATGCAAGCATTGTTGTGCCAGGCTTCTTGCTTATACAGTATTTTAAGAGGAAAAATTATCTTGAAACAGGTAAGTAGCTACAGAACACAGCTCCTTTTATCTACTTGTCAACTAATTATATAAAGCTGTCCAGGTACCGAACTGGTGTTTGGAATTGGTAGTGGGCAAGATAAGGGCAATAAACTGAAACTGACTTGCAGGAAGACAGAAGTCCTTTGAATGGGCGACTTCCATGTCCGGGAGGTATAAATGTACTCAGTCCTCTAAAAGATTGAGTGTGTCTCTTGACAGTTTTCTTTGAGCCTGCATTGTCCTAGTTGGCCTTGGTAGATACGGTAAGTTCCCTTTACTGCCTCCAGCTGGTTCGTAAATTATAACTGCTTCTGGATAAAGATTGATGTGATGGCAGTATTCTGTGCTCTAGTAGCCTTCCCATTGGATTGGTAGTGCAAAGCGTGAATGCTAGATTGCCAAAATGTTCAGCCAGATGGGACCTCATTATACAGGTAGTAAAGGAGTGGCCTTGGTTGCCTGTGTTTTTCAGTTCTGTTCTAATCTTTAAAATCCTAGATTGTTTGACAATGAAGTACTTTGCAGATACTTCTCTCTATACTTGCCTGCCTGTGTCTGCAGAGATCTGCTTAAGATGCCCCCTACACATTTAAATTAGCAAGAGAGAGCCCTCTTATGTCCTGTGCATGGAAGTCCCAGCTAAATGTGTAGTTTTTAGTGCCCAGTAAAAACTTTGTCCAGTAATTTTAGTTTTATCTTTTATTTTTTTTCAATTGTTTTATTATACTGTACTCCGATTCTGTGACCAGCTTTGGATTTTTTGTGTATTTGTGTGGAAAATATATGTTCAGCAGCAGTATTAAGAATGCTTATTCTTATGAAGTACTTCACTCATAGCCCAAGGTCTTTTCTTTAGTCACTCAGCTGTGTTGTTCTCCACCAAAAACACTCATATGTTGCTCATTTATAACTGCAATAAAATATATGCTCAATTTCTGTCTTTTATTGGCTTAACAATCTGTGAGTGACATTCACTTTCTGTGGCATTGTGGGTAAGAGACACGGAATGTGAATCTGTATTTCTATGACTTTCTGTATCACCAGAAATTCAGAAAGTGTATCTTAGTGGGAACAAATACCATGAGAAAATGAAAATGGATTAGAGAAAAGTGTTTGAAAGTCCCATCAACAAACCAAATTAGGGATAGTGATGACAGGAGTAACCTTGTAATTAGCTTTAATAAATATAGCCATTCAGATAATTGATTGCTGTAGATAATGTCCTTTGTTGTTTTTCTTTCTTAGGCCGAGGAATTTGTTTTCCGGTAATCAAATCATGTGTTTTTGGCAATGAGGCCAAATCAGCGCATCAGGATGATGCCATTTTGGCAGCTCGAAATGAGACTGTAGAGTCATCCACAGCCCGTCAAGTTTTCAAGCTGCTATTCTGCGCAACTGGCCTACAGGTAAAGAACGAATAGGCTTTGCACCACCCACTTTTGAGACTGGCACCAAAGTATGAGAAAGCCAAATGCCGATTTTGTGATGACAAAAGTTGGGAACAAGTGTTATGTATTGATTTGGCTGGTCCAGTTCAAAGAAAATAATTTATATGATTGATACATGTTGCATGAAATACTTGTACTGTAATAAGACTGACTTCTTCAATTGGTAATGGAAACTATGTGCTTAACTCATAGTTGAATTTATACGTAACATGGAGTCCAAATTCTCTAATTTTCATTTGTAATAGATAACTGAGTTTATAGATTGTAGTTGGTTTAGTTTTGGCTTAACATAATATAGAATGCTAGCTATTGTGCTTTGTAAACATTATCATTTAGCATTATTTGTGAACTAGGGCATTATGGTTTATTCTATAACCAAATTTAAAATAATCAATGGCTTAACATGATGTGTGCTAACCAAATTCTTGAGTCAGCAGTATATGCTGAGTGCTAGGAAAACTTGTAGAAGCTCACAGTATCTATAACTTTAAACTTCTATGGTTTCACCTTTTACACAAACACATACACTAACTTTTCACCCAATCATTTTTGAACTTAAGCCAAAAGATTTGGCTCAAACAGATATTACTGATACTTTAAAATAGGGTTTCCCTAATTCTATATTAGCAGGAAGTTACTGGTTTTGTGTTTTTTTTACTGTACTTTCTTATGGCCTTTTTGGCATTTTACACATGTGCAAAATGACAAGCAGGCTTTTGGGCATGAATAATTTTTTAAAAGCTTGAGTTGCCCAATTGCCAGCTCTCCTCTTTCCCTTCCAGTCAGGACACGATAACATCACAGCTGAATGACCTGGTCAAAAGGGAAGAGGGTGTTTTTTTTTAAATGAAAATGTTTTAATAAAATTAACAAAGCATATTATAATTGGCCTATGGGGCCTGACTTTTGGTACATCCTTTATCTATTCTCTAAAAGACCAGTTTGTGTTATACAACGGCCAGTAACATCCTGTGGACCATATCTTGGGAAATACTGCTTTAAAATTATACTGTAAACCATTCTGCTCAGTCAGAATCAGCTCTTTAAGCACCTGAGTTATCCTGAACAATTACTGTGTGACCGAGTCCTTCCCATATTTAATAGTTCATCCCAGCTGAAAATGTTTGGATAATTTCTTCTGAAGTAGCAAGGCATGGGGAAAACTGTTAACTCTACTCCAGTCTTCTGTTTGCAAAAGCATGAGCTTTGGCAACATATGTATTCCTACTGTATTCTTTTCCAGTGACTTTTTTAAAATGAAAAAAAAAGTGAACTATGTTAACTATGTTGCATTATGGAGATTTCGTAAGGCACCTGTTGATGTTCTAATGCTTTTGACAGGATTGTTTTGGCATTTCCTAAATTAGCACTTGTTTGTTGCAACATTAAACTGTAGGTGGTGACATAATTTAACAATCTCTATTTGACCTCCTCAGATACTTTTTGTGGTAGATTGTCTTCTACTTCTAAGAGAATCTAATCAAATCTGGCTTTTAGCTTTCAGTTAGTGTTGATAAAGTATTTACAAGCGTTTAGGTCACTCTGGATAAAGGGAAGATTCCCACTGAACAGAAGTCAGGTGGTCATCATGTGTCACTTTCTTTGTGATAGTTGCCTTCCTAATCTCCTTTCTTCCCTCTCACTTTGTAGATCTCCTATTTAACATGGGGTGTCCTGCAGGAGCGTGTGATGACCAGGACATATGGAGCAAGTGGGTCGGAGCCTGGAGAGAAGTTCAAAGATTCTCAGTTCCTTGTCTTCATGAACCGGATCCTGGCCTGTACTGTGGCTGGTCTCTACTGTGCTCTAATCAAGCAGCCCCGTCATGGCGCTCCCATGTACAAGTATTCTTTTGCTTCCCTCTCCAACATTCTCAGCAGCTGGTGCCAGTATGAAGCTCTCAAGTATATTAGTTTCCCCACACAGGTGCTGGCCAAAGCCTCCAAGGTGATTCCAGTCATGCTGATGGGCAAACTGGTGTCACGCAAAAGCTATGAGTATTGGGAATACTTAACAGCCGCACTCATTTCAGTAGGGGTTAGCATGTTCTTGCTCTCTAGTACTCATGACAAGCATCTCTCCACTGTCACTACCTTCTCTGGCGTGATCCTCCTCGGTGGCTACATTGCTTTTGACAGTTTCACTTCCAACTGGCAGGATGCACTCTTCACCTATAAGATGTCCTCAGTGCAAATGATGTTTGGAGTGAATGTCTTTTCTTGCCTATTCACCGTGGGTTCGTTGCTGGAGCAGGGTGCCTTGATAGAATCAATAAACTTTATGGCACGGCATTCAGAATTTGCTGCCCATGCTGTGCTTTTGTCGGTGTGTTCCGCCTTTGGACAGCTGTTCATCTTCTACACCATCAACCAATTTGGAGCAGCTGTCTTCACCATTATCATGACTCTACGCCAAGCCTTTGCCATCCTGCTTTCTTGTCTCATCTATGGCCATGCAGTCACTGTGATAGGTGGGCTGGGAGTAGCTGTGGTTTTCATAGCACTTTTCCTCCGTGTCTATGCCCGCAGTCGCATGAAGAAGCGAGCAAAAAAAGTACCTGCTGGTGAGGGCACAATACAAAAGGTTTAGGAGCTACAAGAAAAACTCTTGTCCTCCCAGCCATTCTCCCAGAGATCCAAAGCATTTGCTTAATCCTGCTCATGAACTTCGTAGGGAGCTGGAAAGGGCGAAGCTTGATTATTTTTTTCCCAGATGATTTTTTGAAAAGTACTGGGTTGGCTTGAAGAAAATGAAGGAGTGCTGCTTCTTACTGTTAATGTCTGAACATTTTTCTCAAAACAAGTGGTACTGAGATCCTTTTCCCAGTGAACAGATGGAGGTAAGCCTAATATGCTTACCCTGACTTGTGGTTTTATAAGAAATGGCTTATTTATGATCAGGGCAAAGTGGAATTGTTTTTATACAGTTCCCATCCTACTGCTGTGTGAAAGGGAATAACAAGAGTAAAACTTCTAAAAGTTCTTATCAGAACAAAATATCCAAACTTAACTATTGAAAGACCAACCTAGCCCAGCTCCCGTAGGAAATCTGGGACTTACCTTACTGCAAGTAACTTTTTTTATAATCGGGGTTGCACTTAAAAAAAAAAAAAAAAAAA